AAATGCTTCCCTTCCACAGCAGGACAGCTCCAGGCAGCAGTAGAGTAAGCCGTGGGCTGCAGCTCAGCGGAAAAGCCCATGCCCAGCAGGCTGGAGCCCTGGGCTCCGCCAGGGAGGGAGGGAGGGAGAGACACGGACACAGATACAAAAGAAACTGTCGAGTTCTAGGTTGTTCTCTCTGAGTATGAGAACTGAAGGAGAGGGTGAGTGGCAGAGACTGTGTTTACCGTAATCCCCCTCTACCTTAAAATAAGAAACGATTACTCAGACTGAAGACTGAAGAGGGCGTTTTATACAGGCTGCTGTTTGATATGAGATCAATGGTTAAAACAGCATCTCTCTCCCTCCCCACGCCCCTCACACACGCACACCTCACAGCTTTCTGCTGCACACACTACAGCTCAGCTCTGTATCAGTGCCTGCTCTTGATCTCGCCCATTTTCCTTAAGCCTCTACTGCATACTGCTCACGCGCAGTAGCCGGAAACGGAAAACAAGGCTGTCCTGGGTCCGTTGTCTTTGTGTGTTCCCCAGACTCACTTAAAAAAAAAAAATAAATAAATAACACTAAGGCTGAAAACTACTAGGCTTCTCATACAGCTCTCAAGTAATATTTTTATTACTTGTCTGTCTTTAGGTTACTTGGTGCTTTGTGGTAAAATCTTATTCTATCTAGCTCAGGATGGCCTGGAACTCAAATCACTACGTAGCCCAGGCTGGCCTTGGAGTTGCATCCAACACTCCTGCCTCAGTTTCCCAAGTGCTGGGACAACAAGCATGGCCACTATGTCTAGGTGTCCAGTAATTTCTTCTTTATAAAATTGTTTTGTGTGTGTGTGTGAGAGAGAGAGAGAGATACAGAGAGAGAGATGCAGAGAGAGAGAGAGAGAGAGAGAGAGAGAGAGAGAGAGAGAGAGAGAGAGAGAGAACATATAGTTCATGTGGATGCCTGCAGAGGCCACAAGAGGGTATTAGATCCCCTGGAACTGCCCTATGTGGGTGCTGAGAATTGAACTGGGATCCTGTGGTTATATGTTGTGTACCCTAATAAAATTTGCCTGAAGATCAGAGAACAGAACAAGTCATTAGATTAAACATAGATGCCAGGCAGTGGTGGCACACACCTTTAATCCTAGCACTCGGGAGGCAGAGATCTGTCTGGATCTCTGTGAGTTCAAAGCCACCCTGGACTACATGAGATTGACTCAGTCTAGAAGAGAAACAGAGCCAGGCAGTGGTGGCACACACCTTTAATCCCAGTACTTAGGAATCACACACCTTTAATCCTTCTAATTCCTTAAGAAGGAAGTGATGGCTGGGCAGAGAAAGGTATATAAAGCATGAGGAGACAGGAACTAAAGTTTTTTCGCTGAAGCTGTTTCAGCTGAAGTCTTTTCAGGCTGAGGAGTCCTAGAGGTAAGACGTGGCAGTGGCTTGTTCCTTTGTCTCTCTGATCTTTCAGTATTTACTCCAATTTCTGGCTCTGGTTTTTTGTTTTTGTTTTTTTTTTTAAATTAAAAAGACCTATTAGAATTCTAACTACAGGGTCCTCTGCAAGAGCAGCGATTGCTCCCAATAACCCTCCCCAGGCCCACCCAGTAGCTCCTTGATGCTCCGTATTAACTTAAGTCTGAGTGTTTTCTTGCTCTGCATATTTGATTGATTTTTGTCCCTGACACCTGGGCCTCTCCTCTTCCACATCCTGTGATTCTACAGACCCACATCCAACTCCCCTTAATTTCAAGCTCTCTGGTTATTTCTATAACAAAGTTAGTCATCACTCCCTAGAGGAAGTGGCAAACGGAAGTCCACAGTGGGTAGTCTAGGGCTAGACTGATTACAAATTTCATAAAAGAACACAATCACTGTTTCCACCAGCCTTAATAAAAGCAAACAATAGTTTTTAAGTGACTGAAAGATATGCAATACTGGCTAATCATTTGAGTTTCAAGCATCAGGGGGAAATATCTGCTGTCCCTGCCACAACATTATAAATGACCATAAAGGGCGGATGTCACTAAGGGACTGGAAGGGACACTTCTGAGCTGCCCAAGCCTTTCATCCGGAGCCACTCCAGCCAAGCCTAACCACAGCTGGAACCACCAGCCTGAGCATCCCTTCTAAGTGAGATCAAATTGTCTTAACTTCCAGCGTATGTCAGTCACCTAAGACATCCAAGGAACATACTGCAAATAAACACATCATGGCGGCTAAAACAGCCTGAGTGATTTACGGTTCTGGAAACAATGCTGCCGAAATCCACACGCCATTCTTCCCGGGAAGGTGGTGAGTGAGCACCAGCCACACTGCAGCCACTAAATAGTTTGAAAAGCCCTGAACAGTTCCCAGAGGTTACGTGGGATAGACACACTTGAGATTCACCGCAGCTTCTGTGAAAGGCAGACATTATTCATCTAATGAATGGATGGGAACAAAATGAGCTCCAGACAACCTGCCTGCCTTCCCCCTCCCAGAACCACACCCAGAGAAATGGAAAACTCCAAGGGAAAAGTGCTAGGCAGGTCCCAACTCCATTCTTGAATGGAAAGAACAGAGTCCGAAGGGGACCAAGGGATACCTCTCAAGAGCTTCACTTCTGCAGGAGAGAACCCCGGAAGGTGTGTGGGAACTCCATTAGAGCTCGGATGTGCTTGTCACTAACACAGAGAGATGGCCACAGCCGATGGATGGCCTCACTTGAAGCACCCATCAAGTAAGGAAGTAGTGCACCAGGTCCATTCTACCGAACCCATCATCTCTACCTGGCCCAGCCCTGATCACCTACTGAATTCACTTTCAATAACTACACCTCTTTTGTCAATTCCACAGGCTACTCAGAAAGGCATCATTGGATTCTGAGAACTTACGATTTCTACACAAAAGTGTTTTACGTCTGTCTGCACTCGATGGTGCTGAATGTCAGACACAGCACTGAAAACCTGAAACCAAATATAATTGGTGATATTGAATATCACAACCGACTTCCCTTCTTGGGTTGAATTATAAATGTGTTCATCAGTTCTCCTGTAGTGCTCACTTACAGCTTTGTACATTTTACTGGCTTCTTTTTTTTTTATTTTGGCAAATTATATCTAAGTCTTTTCAAAAACAATTAGATGCATTTTAGTAATCATGTCCCCATGATTTAGTAATCATGTCTCCCAAAAGCTTGGAGGCTCCTCTTTAAAGGGGTTTTCCTAACTCTGCATCTCCCATATCTACTCACGCATGACCTATACTAATTGCTCAATAAACGCTGCCTAAATGAGCCTGGCAGAGCCTTAATGCTGCCAACACAGACTCTATTTCCCCATCTCCTTTACATCTGCATTTCCATCACCCTACAGCCATGTAGTTAGGTCTGGCCAGTGAGCCGGTGAAGGGACACAGTGGGACTTCTGTGAAGTCCCCTCAGAGGAGGACATCTTCTGTCCCCCACCCCACCCCAGCCCCATTGAACCAAATATAAGCAGAAGGGTGGCCGACTGGAGCCCTGGCAACCACTTTGGGCTATACGTTAACTAAGAAGTAACGTGGCAGGACAGATAGGAAAAAGAAAAACACGTGGTAGTTCATGCTCAGGACCTTCCACAAGAGCTACAGGCTGCCAGCTTGCTGGACGTCACACGGGAAAGAAAGCCTCCCGTGTCTTCTCGAAAACACTTCCCACCAGCACGGGAATCCTATGGAAGGTTCTAAGAGGCTCACAAAAGTAAACAACTCTTTGTCAAAGTACACCCCCCACACACATACACACTCGATTCATCTTCATTAAAACTATGGCTGGGAGAGGGGAAGAAAGAGTTTCCTTGTTTTTTGCAGGGCACTGTGAGGAACATCTGCTTGCTCAAGTCATCATTGCTCCCAGCCAAACTCAACACCCACACGGAAAACTTATTCATATCCCAGAGTGGGAAAAAAGATGCATGAGAGTCTTAGTATTCACACAGACAAATACAGGAACCTAAACATACTTTACACTCCAGCTGAATGGACTTCTCAATGAAAATGTTCACAATCGACTTCTTCACTAGCATGGCCCACGGAAACTCCTCGAAAGTTTAAACTTTTAATATGACCAACTAATGCAGGAGACCAGTGACTGAGACTCCCCTGCACTATCAAAGGGTCAAGCTACCTTGAGACAGTCTCTCTACATGAGTAAGGTTCAAAGATTAAGGGAAGTAAGAATGCTTCGATTTGGAGAATCATAAATAAATCAGGCAAATGAGCAGGATGGATTCTCTGCAAGTACACATATCATCTTGAAATTTTAGGTGTAAAACTCCCACCCACCTGACATAAATTAAAATCCCACTATGGAGGGAGATAGAGGCTTTCTTGCGGGGAGGGAGCAGAGGCGATGAGAACTGAGTATGTCTACAGCGGCACAGAGTTTTACTATGTTTAACTATGTAAAACAAAGATCTAAAGAGTACCTCAAGGGACAATCACAGATCTTGTCAATATGACATCCCATAATATGCTGGGAGACACTTTATTTCCACAACAGGGAAATAAAGCCACTGACACCAACTACTTCCAATCAGAAAATTCCTAGTGGAGTCAACTTGATATTAGCCTTGTGTGAGTCTAAGGAAGAGCCCACTTCCAGTTAACATCATAAACAGCAAAGAACAGTTGCTGATTTCCAGCTTCATAAAATGTATCATCCTTTGGTTTCTTTGAGGGTCATAAAATTACTAAGAAGCACATCCAAAACTAAATGACAGTTTAGCAGAACTAGCAATCTAGTTGAACACTTAGTAGGGAATGCCAGCCTAGAATACACTTAGTAGGGGATGCCAACCTAGCGGTACATTTAGAAGACACCCACTCAGCAATACACTTAGTAGGGATGCCAATCATCTAGCGATGCCCTTAGTAGGAGGCAGCTCCCTCTTTGACAGTGAGTTATGAGCAGGAGAAGGAGCTGGAATTTCAAAGGTTAGTTTACTGACCTGCAACTCCCAGGGTAAGCAAAGGAGGACACAGCCTTACCTGTCCCATTGAGCGTGGTGTTTTTATTCGTGTACAGCCTGATCATATGTCCAATTGTTTTCACATTCTCTCTCAGCATGATACCTCGAGCCTGTACCATAAAGAGGTATGTGTTGGCTATAAAAGAGGAACAAAAGAGAGAAAGAAGGTCATGAAATGGTAAGATTTTTCTTAGGAAGATTCAGACTTAGCAAAGTACCCAAAAAGTGACACTCAATTACCTACCATGTCAAAGGAGAAAACAAAATACAAGGCGACTGTTTCCTGCTTTAAAAAACTTAGGAATGCTGGGTGTGGTGGAGCACACCTTAAATCCCAGCACTAGGGAGGCAGAGGCAGGCAGATCTCTGTGAGTTTGAGGCCAGCCTGGTCTACAGAGCAAGTTCCAGGTCAGCCAGGGCTGTTACACAGTGAAACCCTCTCTCAAAAAATAAACAAAACAAAAAAACAAACGAATGAAAAACTTAGGAACAAGTGGACTTTTAAAAATTAAAATAGGGACCAACAAGATGTCTCAGTGGATAAAGGTGCCTGCCACCAAGCCCAATGATCTGAGTTTGAGCCCTGGTACCCATATAGTTGAAGAAGAAAACCAATTCCCAAAAGTTGTTCTCTGACCTCCATATGTGCACTACAGCATGTGAGTACACACACATATATATGCATACACAGAAATACATAAACGTAAACTTTTAAACAAAAATCAAAAAACGTTAAGTGGCAACATCCTTCTAGCTAACAGGCCAAGACTAAATACACAAATTGTAGTAAAATTCCTTAAGTTCATATAAACATAATCATTTCAAAAGAGATATTTATTATAAGGATACAGTCCTCTAATTCAAAACTCACTTTTTAAAACTCTGTATTAATTCACTAAAACCCAAAACTCCACAAAGGTAACCCCTTATCTTACAGGGAATATGCTATAGATTACCATAACACCAGGATGGGGTTTACAGACCACCAAAGCACTAGGATGGAGTCTCCTACAGATCACCATAACACCAGGATGAGGTCTACAAATCACCAAAACACCAGGATGGGGTCTACAGATCACCAAAACACCAGGATGGGGTCTACAGATCACCAGAACACCAGGATGAGGGTCTACTGATCTCCAAAACACCAGGATAGGGTTTACAGACCACCAAAATACCAGGATGGGGTCTACAGATCACCAGAACACCAGGATGGGGTCTACAGATCACCA